TCTTATTTGGGGTTTGTCTGGATGTTTTTATATGATTAGCTTTAGGCATTGGAAGGACTGATGCTGAAGCTGAAGCTTCAATACTGCCTGATGCGAAGAACCGACACATTGGAAAAGACCCTGATGCTGGGAAAGATTGAAGGCAGGAGGAGAGGGGGATGACAGAGGATGAGATAGTTGGATGGCATCACCGACATGATGGACATGAGTTTGGATAGGCTCTGGAAGTTGGTGATGGACAGGGAAGACTGGCATGCTGCAGTCCATGGGGTTGTAAAGAGTCGGACACAACTGAGTGACTGAACTGAAACTGATGCACTCGAGGCTGGGATGAGATGCTGTGTCCTTCTCAGACAAACAGCAATACTCTTGGGAGTGAAAGAGGGAGCCACCTATCCTCACACTGTGATAAAGGGGGTAAACGTGGATGGTCTCAGGTGAACTGGGATGCATGGTGACTCTCGTTCTGTAAGTGACTATTCCCATTTACCAGTGCCCATACTGGGGCCAGATGGGTTTGCTGGCTGAGCTCCTACCACCCACAGCTGTTTCATCTGGCCACTGTCCTGCCCTTGGCTATGCCCAGCTACCTTGAACTCAAGACATCTCTTGTTCAATTTTACCTGGAATAACTTTCAGGTCTCCTGTCATGATGAAGATTGGTTGGTTGCCTGTGTGCAGGACAGAGGAGGAGATATGAAATTCTAACTGCTCCTGTGCAGACTCTCAGGCAGCCCTCTTGTGTTTCAGCTGTACTGTGACAGAGATGAACAAACCTGACTCCTTGGGTCTGTTCCTCTAGCTCTAACCATTGTGCCCTGTTGCCTGTGCTAACTTCTTCGGGGTCTGCACCTTCTGTCAAAGCATGCTGCCTATAGTCTGGAATATACTTGACAGCCCTTTCTCAGAGCTCTGATCTTTAAAGGGGTAACCCTTTTCCATTTGTATAGAGAGAAAAAGTTGCAGAATAGAGAATAACACTTGTCTTATTGCAGGTTTATAGGAACATTGTGACCAGACGTACCTGGACAGCTGCTAGAACAAAGGATTCCTGCACCAAGAAGTCTGCAACAACCAGCCACCCCCACTCCCATCTTAGTATAAAAGAGGCCTGAATTCTAACTCAAAGAAGATGGTTCTTTGGGACACAAGTCCACCATCTCCTCAGTCTGCTGGCTTTCCAAATAAAGTCTCTGTTCCTTGCCCTGACAACTCATCTCTCCAGTTATTGACCTGTCATGTGGCAAGGAGCACAAACTTGGACTGGCCAACACTACGCTTCACCTCCATCTTCTCCTGTATCTGCTACATATAATTCCTAAGATTTTCTGAGATCCTCTTGTGCGAACCAGCTTTCTTCTCCCATCCCCCGACAGTTGGGTTTCAGCTTTCTCCACAGCACCACATCAGTCTCCAGGAATCTGTCCCTGGTCAGCCTTCTGAAAATCTGTTGACGGAACTTGTCCACTGTCATCTTTTCTTCTTTATTTTTGTGACATTTTAATCTCAGAAGATTACTTGCTGCCATTTTTGGTGGGGCTTGGTGAAAGGAGTGGAGGTAATGCCCATGTTCCATGGTCACTCATGCGGAGCCTTTGAACTTTCCTTTGTGGGACTCCTCTTGCCACACCTGCCACGGTTTAGCTACAAGTTCAGGGAACTCAGGGCGCACACCTCATTTATGCTATTTCATCTGGAATTCTAAGTTGCCTACCTGCCCACCCTCTGCTCACTGCTGCTGCCCTGATGTGACCACAGCACTTTGTTACCGTCTCTGTTTTTGAACTTATCCCAGATTTCCTTGTATCTTCATTTGTTAAGTTGGAATTTGTTTCCTGCCCCTTCAGGGTAAGGACTTGACCTTGTCTAATATTTAACTCTTCCAGATGATGCTTTGTGAGTAGATATATTCTAAGTGTTTGTTCCACTGGGTTAAACAGAAATAATATTTTTTCTGTTGTTATGTTTCTGGAAGTTTGTATTTTTCCCAAAGGGCTCTCCATGGGTGACAGACTGGGTGGCTGGTCCCAACGCTTCATTCCACTGTGATAGAGTTACACACCACACCCTTGACATGCTCTTGGGTGGGCCATGTCTCTTCCTTGGCTCTTGACTGTGGCTGGGTACTTTGCTTTGTTTAATATTCATTTATTTATTGATTTTTGGCTGTGCTGGGTCTTTGTTGCTGTGAGGGCTTTCTCCAGTTGTGATGAGCAGGGGCCGCTCTTCTTTGAGGGCTTCTCATTGTTGCGGAGCACGGGCTTTAGGGCATGTGGGCTTCAGTAGTTGCAGCACGTGGCCTCAGTAGCTGTGGCTTCCGGGCTCTAGAGCACAGGCTCAGTAGTCGTGGGACATGGGCTTGGATGCTCCGAGACATGTGGGATCTTCCCGGGCCAGGGATCAAACCAGTGTCCACTGCCTTGACAGGCAGATTCTTTAACACTGAGCCACCAGGAGACCTTTCATTTATTTTTATGTGTTTGTTTGACTTGCACCAGGTCAGCATGTGAACCCTTAGTTGTGGTGAAGGAGGAAACAGAACAGGCTCTATCTTGAAAGCAGGACTCCATCTTGTGTCGGACTGTGGACTTTGAGCTATATGCCCAATATCTATGGAAACGACATACCAACTGGAAAACCAGGCCCCCAGAAGGAAGAGCCCCAGAGCTCTCCATCGCTAAAAGAATACCCTAATTATCTGTGTAACCGAATAGAATCATACATTCTATTATGCTTATTGGGGTATGACCACAGGCCTGTTGATAATTGTCCACTGTTAACTACCTGGGCTTAAGGCATATGAATCACGGGTTAACTTTGATTGTCAGGGAATTTGGGGAGGTAGATTTGTGCACGGTACACTTAGGGTATATAAGGTTTTCACAAAAACTGATCGGGGTCCTTTCTAAGAGGAGACTCTGCCTTGGGTCCGCCCGTGTATAAACTGCACTCTACTATCTGCATTGTCCTTCTCAGTTAGTTTGTTTCCTGGAATGTGTGGCTACAACAGTGGCACACGGGATCTAGTTTCCTGTTCAGTTCAGTTCAGCCGCTCAGTCGTGTCCAACTCTTTGCAACCCCATGGACTGTAGCATGCCAGGCTTCCCTGTCCATCACCAACTCCTGGAGCTTGCTCAAACTCGTGTCCATCAAGCTGGTGATGTCATCCAACCGTCTCATCCTCTGTCGTCCCTTTCTTCTCCTGCCTTCAATCTGACCAGGGATCAAACCTGGGCCCCCTGCATTGGGAGTGCAGAGCTTGGCCACTAGACCATCAGGAAAGTCCCCCTGTGCTTTGGTTTCAATAAAGGATGTTGGTGGACCCAAAGCCAACAAAGGCTTGGAGTGGTCTGGACGGGCTCGTTCCCGTCCTTCTGTCACTGCAAGTTCCAGGAAGAGCAGTTCCATTGGGAGCACAGCTGCCCGGGTGGATCAGAGGACCTGAAGCTTGCACAAAAGCCCTGCAGCTGACCTGCAAACTAAATATTGGACAAAAAATGACTTTTCGTCTGCTACTTAGCTTGGGGGGGCCATTGTGTTTTGTTGAAATACCTGACTGACACATGATGTCAAAGGGAAGGAATGATTTTTTTTTTTTATAAATCATTCTTGTTCTATGTTGTTTCACTCTCTAGGAAGCTTGAAACCAATTTGCTATGGCATCAGCATGGTATATGTGTGCCATACTATATAAAATATTAATAAGCATTGGTTCTCCTTGATTTGATCATAAAATCTATTTTTAAATGACTTAACACAAGAAAATAGAATAACTACATTACCAGCACAACTTTGGTCCTTACATAGATACATCCCAGACTGAATCCATGTCTTAGTCTTTTTGGAGAAAAAATAAATTCCGAGAAACCCAACAAAGATCTGTGTAATTTTCTTCATCTTTGTTAACTATGACTTTAATTTGTAGTATACTATGTGCAATCAACAGAGTTGTTAATTTTATGGTACTGCTAATCTTTTTATGAAAACAGGCTTTTGATAATGATTTTTAAAATTGAAGATAGGACAAAATATTTCTATCTAGGAATGGTCTCATCAAATGCTATTCATTTCTTTCAACACCCACAATTCACTTTTAAATTTAGCAAAGCCTAGCTTTATTATTTCCAGAATATAAATTAAAATGAAACATAGTGACACAAATTCCTTTATATATCTAATTTAGAGTTGGCCAATTTCTCAAATCTTTAGGCTGTAAGAAGTTTTTCTTTGGTTGCAAGAATCTATTATGCCAATGTCCTGATGGAGCTTGGCTTGCATCTCCTACTCCAGAAAGGCTCTCAGAATCCATGAGCCTCAGGATAATATTAATAGTAACAATAACTGTGCAAGGTTTTCTGAGTTACTGTGCAAGAAGAGGGTCCTTACAAACATGTACAAGTATCAGTAAGAACTTTCAACACACCTCACAATTTATTGAGAAGTGCCATTTGATATTGCATCCAAGGTTAAGAACCACTAATATAAAGAGGGGTGTTTAATGCCATAGTGTAATTACGAAAAATAGATGCTTAAGTAATCAGCAAAGAAAAAGCTCTAGAATTGAAAGCTTGACCGAGAGAGAGAGAAGAGACAAAGCCTGGGGTCCTTGGGCTCTCCAGCTAGACCAAGGTTAACAAGCCCCCTTGGGCTTCCTTCGCAATTCCACAGTGGAAACAAATCAGAAGAAAGGCATGCTTCTTTTGTGCTCCTGACACTCCATTTACTCAAAAGCAACGGGCTCAACAATCCGGGAACAAAACCCTCACGGCGCTGGGTAACCTTCCAACCCCCAGAGCTTTATGGGCCGCTAAGCCGGCGCACAAAAGCGGGGCCCGCGGCTCTTTTGTTCTCCCCGAGGCTGGGCGCCGCGTGGAGAGACAGCTGACACGCTCTGGAACGTCCCAGCTGCGCACCCGGGGCCTCCGATGTTTATTTAGCGGACTGCTGGCTCGGCGACGTGCCTCGGGGAGCCGGCCGGTGCACCCGCCCGCAGAGGAGCCATGTTCAGGCGCAGCTACGTCTTCCAGACCCGCAAGGAGCAGTACGAGCGCGCCGAGGAGGCGCAGCGCGCCGCAGAGCCGGACCGCCTGGCGGAGAGCCGGGCGGCCGCGCCGAACCTGGCGGCGCTGCAGGGGCTCGGCGAGCGCGTGGCCGCTCACGTCCAGCGGGCCCGGGCGCTCGAGCAGCGCCATGCCGTCCTCCGGAGGCAGCTGGACGCCTTCCAGCGCCTGGACGAGCTGGCCGGCCCCGAGGATGCCCTGGCCCGCCACGTCGAGGGCAACCGCCAGCGCGCCCGGGACCTGGCCGCCGAGCGCACCCGGCTGGAGCGCCAGGGCGCAGAGGCGCAGCGCGCGCTCGACGAGTTCCGGAGCAAGTAAGCGGCGCCTTTAGGGTAACAGGCGGCGCGGGCCGGGAGCGCGCGGCCGCTGGGCTGGGAGGGCAGTCTCTGATCCCGGGGCGACCGATGACTTCATCTCTGCGGAGGCAAGCACGTGGTGCGTTTCCCTGAGCTAGGACTAGCTTCCATTTTGATGCCGTGTCACAGTTCAAATGAAATGGTGTAATTTACTTTTTTAACCTATCTTAATATCCAGATTTAATTACATGCAATAAAATGCACACATTCAAGAGCATAGTGTAATGAGTTTGAGAAACATAGGTACCCATTTAACTACTAAAACAAGATATTTCCTCTACCCAAGAAAGTTCCCTTCTGCCCTTTGTCTTTGGCCTTTTGCCTTTTGCCCTTCTGTCTTTGGTTCCCCCTCCCCAGTCCCCTCAAACGAGGCACCCAGGGTTCTGATTTCTGTCACTAGACTACTATGGCCTGTTCTAGAATTTCATAAATTGGAATCTTCTAGACATATTCTTCTATGTGTCTGGCTCCTTAGGCTTTGCATAGTGTTTTTGAGATTGTTGTTCAGTCGCTAAGTCGAGGCCAACTCTTTGCCACCCCATGATGGATGTTTATTAATGCTCACAGGCTCATCCTGTTATAGAGCGTACTGCACCCATTTCACAGATGAGGAGACTGGGGTTCAGGCAGTGTATTGATTTAGGGGAAAGGTCACTCAACTGGTGACTGCTGCACTAGGATTGGAATTCAGCTCTTGAACATGCAAAGTCTAAGTGTCTTCATTGTATCACAGCTGACACCTGGACATTGTTTCAACCTGTGTCCTCTAGGGTCTGGCTACTCAAAGTGCGATCCATGGACCAGCAGTTTCCTATCACCCAGGAGCTTGTTAAAAAAGAAGACTCTTGGGCCCACCCCCAGAGCTCCTGGATCTGACTGCACTTTAACAGAACCCCCCAGGTGATTCAGTGTTTAAGTTAAACATTGAAGTTTCAGAAGTCCTGATCCTGGGCAATGTGCTCCCTTTTGATAGAATGAATAATGCTTTAAAATCACCCTAAAAGCTGTTCAAAAAAAAAGATGCTCAGCGATTTGTCAACATCTTTCCAGGTTATAAATGAGTGTGCACTTTGACTCAGCTGGGTGCTTCAGGGAATTTATCCTCGGATACTCTGTGTGTGTGTGTGCTAAGTCACTTCAGTGTAGTCCAACTCTCTGTGACCCTATGTAGCCCGCGAGGCTCCTCTGTCCATGGGATTCTCCAGGCAAGAATACTGGAGTGGGTTGCCATTTCCTTCTCTGGGAAATCTTCCTGACCCAGGGATCGAGCCCGCATTTCTTATGTTTCCTGCATTTGACAAGTGGGTTCTTTACCACTAGCACCACTGGGCAGCCCCCTCTGATACTCGAGCAGGTGTCAAAGGACATTTCCACAAGGATATTCCCTGCAGCATGATCTCAGTAAGTAAGACCTGGGACCAACCTGAATGCCTGTTAATAGGAGTCAGGGTATGAAATTGTGTTTCATTCATGCAATGGAATTCTCTGCAATTGTAAAAAACAAAAAATATTGTATTATCATTATCTATTTTAAAAAGACAGGGGTAGGCATAGAGATTTTTTGCTTGCAAAAGGACACAAGCCCACACACAGAAACCTAACAACACTGCTTACCTATGAGGATAAGGGAGGAGGAACAGAGGTAGAGGGAGAATTTTAACTTAACATCTTCTGATGTCATTTAAAAAATTCTCTGACCATGTAAGAGATTTATCTGTTTAAAAATTATATAAATTAATGAAAAAAATTCAGAGGTAGACCTGACCCTGGACCTCAAGTGGACCCCAGGAATTCCATATTTAATGAGCTCCACTGGTAATTTCAGTGAACAGCCAGGTTTGAGGATCTCTGGTCTAGGGTAGCTGGAGAGTTTTCTTCAAATTGCTCTGTGTTTGTATTCCATATTCTCAGCCCTGGACGTGAACAGGTTATTCAGCATTGTATATCGAGCCTGTTTATCTGACTATAAGCATTCATTCCATCAGTCCTGCTGTTTCTCGTTTTCTTTCTTTTTAGCTGTGCTGTGTGGCATGCAGGATCTTAGTTTCCTAACCAGGGATTGAACCTGTGGCCCCTGCAGTGGAAGTGTAGAGTCTTAACCATTGGACTGCCAGGAAAGTCCCTGTTTCTGGTTTTGATCCTGGAAGAATGCACCTGAAAATCCCTATAGCTCTTCAAGGGAAAACTGAGGCTTGCAGAGGGCCTGTAGGTGGCAGGGCTTGAACTTGGGTTTTTCGCCTGGAGGCCCATACCCTTTCCAGAACGCTGTGTCTTGGAGAGAAACCTTCCTTGGATGCCGTGGAGTGAGGCCTTCACTCATGTAAAGCTCACGTTACCTAAAGCAATGGAGGTGAATGTTGGGACACAAGGCAGCTCCATGGGTCATCTGGATACCCCAGACCCCCAGATGGCCTTTACCTGGGCCACAGTCCTTGAGTCACAGTCGGTTGTGATTTGGCTGGGCAAGCATGACTCCTGGGAGCCCTCAATGGAGGGTGGCTGTGTTGAGTTTTCCTGATTTTACTTGATTCTGAGTTGTGTGTCCATCATGTAGCCGGCCCCTTAGGCTCTCTGATTTATTTGATAATTCTCATTAGTTTATTCCCTCCCACTGCCGCCTTAGAGAAGTTTTGATATTTAAAATTGGATAGTGAGATTAGAAAATCATTGTAAAAATTATACACATCTGTAATACACTGGGGACACACACTGAGTTTGGTTTAATTCCAGAGGTGTGGTGATGACTAGCCAGAAATAGGTGAAATTAATATAGAAACAGAAAGGTATATGCAACCTTGTTAGGCATATTCTTTACCTGGATAGTTGTATAATTTCAAAATCAGGTCTTTAGCACATCAAAGAAAGGCTAAATAAAATAAAAACTAAATAAAAATAAAAACAAAACTACCAAAATACGATAAATACAGTGATGCATACAAAATACAATGATGAGTCAATTATCCAAATTGCTGAAAGCTAAAAATAATTCTGTCAGATGATTGAAGCCAAAGTGGTTTTTTCCACCTTATGGATTCACTTCTATATTCACTTCTATGAATATATGAATATATTATGAATTCTTACCATGAATTCTTTATAATGAGATCGCCTGTCTTTAATATAATACCTAGACTTGTCTACAGCATGAAACTAGGTTAATATTTTGTTTATTAAATATGTTTTAAAATTTTTTTTAATTATTTTTTTAAAAGTATTTGGCTGTGTGCAGCATGTGGGATCTTAGTTCCCCAACAAGGGATCAAACCCGGGCCCCCTGCACTGGAAGTGTGGAGTCTTAATCACTGGATCACCCAGGGAAATCCCTAAATATGTTTTTAAGGTATAGAAATTCTTGGATGTTTCTAGCAGGAAAAAGCAATAAGAAAATTAAATTTTGTTAGCAGTTTTATTTTTAAAGCTAATTAACTATTTTAAAAAAATCATTTCTGGCTCCATTAGAGCCACACAGAAAACAAACTGCTAAATGTGACATCCTGGTGTGAAAAGTAAAACTTATGCACACATATTTTGCTTACTGGTTACAGCTAAGCTGCTTGGATGGCTCTGGAGATGGGGACACTGAGAACAATGTTCTTCCCTGAGGTCAGGACTTTTGATTCTGAGCTGCAGTTTCCCAGCACCCGTCAGCGTAAAGTCCTAACTTGAACCTGTGGCATGGGTGTGCAGGGACACAGAAAGCCAGGCTTTGTAGGTTTCTCTAAGTGCTAAGTACGATTAGTTTCAACTACAAATAAATTCCAAGTTAACACTGGCTTATCCAAAGTGGAAGATTGTTTCTTTCTTGTGTAAGGTCTGGGCTAGCCCTTTAGTATGGCACCCTATGGTAATCAAGGCCCACAAGGCTGTGTGTGGCTTTCAAGAAGGCAGCACTGGTGTTTCAAGGGACAAGATGGAGGAAGGGATGTAGAAGGACATACCTATACCATCTCTTACCAGAGATATCCTCAAGTGGCCACAGGCATGCTTGCTTCCCATTGGTCAAGACTGAGTCACATGGCCATACTGAGCTGCAAGGAAGGCTGGGAAATGTAGTCTTTATTCTAGGCAGCGCTGTGGCTTCCAAACATAGAAAGCTTCCAAACATGGCTTCCTATGTCCTATTAGGATGGATACTGGGGACAGTTTACAGAGAGTGAGGTGGGGGTCATTGGGGAAGGGGCTTTCTCTTCTTCTTCAGGGGATGAAATTCCCCCTAGAGGGAACCTTGTTCTGACCAGAATGATTTCTGGTGTTTTTTTGCTTCCTTGATCTTTAGCATTTTTTGTTTTTTTTAGGACTCCAGGGAAGAAGCTGACTAGGAGGAAAAATGCACCTGCTCCTAGCACCGGCTACTTTCTTAATCTTGTGCATGCTTATAACTTTGGTGGTGTCCCTGCTCTGCCTAGGCAGCGTGGTAGATGGGGCAGGCTCGCATCTGAATCCTGACTCACCCCTTTGTGTGTGAAGTCCCTCCAGGAGCTGAGCCTGGGAAAGTGGCTTATTTGGGGGATAGTGTCAGGGAGCTGCAGTTGGGGAGTGGGGAAGTGAGGGAGGCAGGGAAGGACGAAGCGGTGCCTCATTTGGCAAGTTACCTTTGTGGCCACTGGCACCTACCTGTGGGGTGGAGAGCACACCTCTGTGGTCCCAGCTGGGAGGGAGTGTGTGTCCCCACTCGCCCTGTCGGAGCTTGCAGGCTGCTCCCAGGAGGACTGACTCTTTGACCTGTCCAGCCTGCCCTGCCCCCCAGCCCAGGGGAGGCCCTCGGTGTGCAGAACGATTCTGACAGATGCTGCGGGTGAAGCACCCCGAGCATCTAGAGGGGCCTCGGGCCAGTTTCTCAACCTCAGTTTCCCCATCTTCCGCACGGGGGTAATAGCAACTGCTCTCTTCCAGGGTTTTATAGGGATCAAAGGACACAATCCAGAAAAGCTGTCTCAGGTGGATGAATACAATAGTATAGGATAGCCAGGCAAGGTCAGGGCAGTGGTGTTTGAGGCAGAACCTTAGGGCAGCCCCCAGCTGCGGTCCTGAGGTGACAGCTGTGCTGAGGTCTGATTCCTGCGTCCTTGGGTGGCTAGGTGGGGGTGCTGGGGGCTTGAGGCTGGGTCTCCATGTATGGCACCCCCTATGTATACCATGGAGAAGGTTGGGAAAGGGTGAGTGGGCTCTGAAAGCCAGCATCAGCTCCTGCTTCCTGTAAAGAGAGGGCTCAGGCTGACTGAATGCCCCACTCTGCCTTCTGTATCTCGTCTGCAGGTATGAAAATGAGTGTGAGTGTCAACTGCTGCTGAAGGAGATGCTGGAACGACTCAACAAGGTGAGCAGAGCCCGACATGGGGTTTGAGTAGATTCATGGCGAGATTGAGATAAGCGGCTGAATGATTGTTCCACACACCTCCTCTTTGTGTTCTTTGGAGACTCCTCCATGTCTTTTGAGGTCACTCTCCTTTTTAAAGAAGTTTTATTGAAGTACTGTTGATTTACAACGTTAATTTCTACTGTACAGCAAAGTGACTCAGTTATACATATATGTACATTCTTTTTCATCTTTTTTCCCATTATGGTTTTATGGATGAGGATGAGATGGTTGGATGGCATCACCGACTCAATGGACGTAAGTTTGGGTAAACTCCGGGAGTTGGTGATGGACAGGGAGACCTGGCGTGCTATAGTCCATGGGGTTGCAAAGAGTCAGACATGACTGAGCGACTGAACTGAACTGAGCTGATGGTTTTATGAGCTGTACAGTAGGACCTTGTTTTTTATCCTTCCTACATATAATAATTTGCATCTGCGAATCCCAGCCTCCTAATCCATCCCTCCCCTCCCCCAGTGACTTGGCAACAACAAGTCTGTTCTCTATGTCTGTCTGCTGCCCTCCTTCATGGCTTCGTAACTTCAATGAAATCTTTGTGAGTGAGTGCACACACCCCCACACACTCCTATCCCACAAGCTACACGAGCTTGTGAGAGATCTCCAGACAGTGAAGTTCATTGCTTTGCTCAGCCATCAGGACATGTCAGTGTCGCAGAGGCTGGCTGTGGTTTGCACCAAACTTGGGGGAGGACTTGCTCCAGGCAGTGGTTACTTGTATCAGTGCTACCGTATCCTGTTGGCTAGGAGTCTTGGGAAGACTCCTTCCCGGGGAAGTCTCACGAGAACAAGTCACGAGGAGTTTCCCCTCAAACTCCTCATTCTTGAAGTATGAACCATCTCCGTGAGGGAGGTACCAGAGGTTAAGGGGAACTGTTCTCTGCTAGGACAGTTTCCTTTTCTGGATCCTCCAGCATTTCCTAACTGACTGGATCTTTCTGCTCTAGCCAGGAGAGCTCGACTACCAGATAGCAGAGTAATCCTGGACCACAGAGGTTATCCGTGGCCAATAGTTCTTTTCTGATCATTTTGGAGCTCAAATGTCAAAAGGAAGGACCTACGGGGACTGATGAGTTGAAGGGCTGCTTATTCAGGGTACCTGGCTGCTTTTCACCTTCTCCTCTTCCCCACCCATAACCTCATTGCTGATAAAATCTGTCACCCTTCCCTGCTGCACCCAGATGTGGCCTTAAGAGCCTTCTCCAAATAGTTGCCATATGATCCAGCAATCTCACTCCTGGGCAAAACCATAATCTGGACAAAACCATAATTTGAAAAGATACATGCACCCCTATGTACATAGCAGCACTGTTCACAGTAGCCAAGACTTGGAAACAACCTAAATAGCCACCAACAGATGAATGAATAAAGAAGATGAATAAAGAAGATGCTTCTCTGGTGGCCCAGCTGGAAAAGAATCTACCTGCAATGCGAGAGACCTGGGTTTGATCCCTGGGTTGGGAAGATCCCCTGGAGAAGGGAAAGGCTACCCACTCCAGTATTCTGGCCTGGAGAATTCCATGGACTGTATAGTCCATGGGATCCCTAAGAGTTGGACATGACTGAAAAACTTTCACTTTCACGCATATATACCATGGAATATTACTCAGTCATAAAAAATAATTAAATAATGCCATTTGCAGCAGCATGGATGGACCTAGAGATTACCATACTATTCAAGTAAGTCAGAAAGACAAATATCATATGATATCACTAAATGTGGAATCTAAACCATGACACAAATGAACCTATCTATACAATAGAAACACACTCCCAAATATAGAGATTTGTGGTTGTCAGGGAGAAAGAGGGTAGTGGTGGGATGGAGTGGGAGGTTGGGATTAGCAGATACAAACTATTGTATAGAGAATGGATAAGCAATAAGGTCCTGCTGTAGAGCACAGGGAACTATATTCAGCATCCTGGGATAAACCATAATGGAAAAGAATATGAAAAAGAACACATTTATGTATGTATAACTGAGTCACTTTGCTATGCAGCAGAAATTAACAGGTCCTGCTGTAGAGCTCAGGGAACTATATTCAATATCCTGGGATAAACCATAATGGAAAAGAATATGAAAAGAACAGATTTATGTGTGTATAACTGAGTCACTTTGCTATGCAGCAGAAATTAACAAAACATTGTAAATCAACTGCACTTCAATAAAATAAATTTAAAAAAAGATTCTTCTCCACATGGAACTCCAGGCAGGGACTTCAGACTTTCAGGGTTTGCTCAGGGTGTTGGTCACTAGTCCCCTGACTTTGCCCGATCTCTGTTGTCCAGGACTATTCTGCCAGTTGTTGGGAGGGTCAGAACTACACTCGGGACACTGAGTTTTGCTTTGTGGATATCACCCACTGTGTGGTTCTTCTGTGTCTGTCCATGTGTGAATGTCTGACATGTTGTCCAAATCAGGACACTTGAGTGAAGGAAATACTGTTAGTAATCACACAGTTTGATTGATAGAAACTGGACGGTTTCAGGCCAGCTGGGCAGGTGGGCACCCAGATGTGAGCCCAGAGTTGGCGGGGAGGGTGTCCTGCAGAGGAGTCCTGTGCACACAGCTCAGTGACTGGCCGTGTGCTGAGCTCGGTTGGAAGTCTGAGTTGATTCGGGCCTTATTGGCCTTTGACTTCACTCAGCAGTTCGACTGACACCCATGGCCCATCCCCATTGTTTTTGGCGGAAATTCCAGGCTCCCAGGTGGGGCTGCTGTCATGTCCACAGACCAAGGCCTCTGGGAACAGAGGAAGCTTACCACCTTCAGCTTTAGGCACTTTTCAGCCCTTTCCCCGCCTCTTCACACCCCAAACGGCTCACTCTGCTTTATGATTGTCTGTCCTCACCGCAGGTAAGGCTCCCTCTGGACATGGCACTGAGGTTGTCTCCTGCCCTGCACATTGTCGTCCTGGGCCTTCCTCTAAGAAGCAGGAGAAAGAACTTAGTCCTTTTAACCTTTGGTGGCAAGTGACTCGACTTAAAAACAAGCTCAAACCTTCGATTTTTCTGCTATTACAAAAGCAGTGCATATTCCCAGTAGACAAATAAGAAACAGAAAATGGAAAATAAGGGAAAGGCATTCCACCTTTCATTCTGTGGTGTAGCGTGTGGACGGTTGGGATCTGAGTCCAGTGGGGATGTTATGAAGGTTCTCTGGGAGGATGGGACCAGGCAGTCAGGTGGGCGGGGGCCATACAGGCTTCGGCATGGCTGTTCCCGGGTACAGGGGAGACCGTGCTCCCTGTGAGAGCTGTGCCGTCCAGAGCAGGAGGGTGACCTGCTACTTGGACCCCTCACTCCACTGTGAGTGGCTTCCTCTCTTCGCACCTCAGTTTCTCCATCTGGAAAATAGGAACAATGCCGGTTCCCACCTCAAGAGCAGGTGTTTGTGTGGCTGGTGAAGTTTCAATGACACAATCGTAGATGTGGCCTGCCTGCTCCAGTTGTTACTACAGGTCACCTGATACAATGGACACCAGCTTAGTTCTCTCCAGATGCGGCTGTGTAACCCTGATGGAGTGGGAGTGTGTGGAGGGATAGCTTTGGAATTGCTGTGAATTTATTTTTGTGACTACCTTTTCTCTATAGCGGGTGACATAAAAAATTTCTTTAAAAAGTTAAAAAATTTAAGAAATTTAAAAGATTTAAAAAAAAATACATGTCAATAAACATGAATCAACTGGAAAAGAATACAGGGCAAATAGTAGATTTTGGATGTGTCAGAATCATAAACACAGGATGCAAATGCAGTGAATGGAGAGGTCCCTGCAACCAGCTCTCAGAACCTTGGAACAGCCTTGAGGATTTTGGGTTTTTTACCCAAAAAAAGAGGTGGGATATCACCTCTCTGTCAGGGCAGGAGCACACCCTCACTGAATCTAAATGACTCAGAGCCCCCCACCCCGTTCACCCTTGGTAGGTATGGACAGGGGCAGGGTCTTCCATTAGCATTTAATTGTTTTGTTTTTTATTTTTAATTTTTTAGTGAAGTAATAGTTGATTTTTAATATTATGTTAGTTTTTGGTGTACAGTATAGGGTTTCAGTATTTGTATAGGCTATGCTCCATTAGAAGTTACTAGAACTGACCTGATGATGTTTAAATAGTTGGATTTGGCTAACCTCTAGGACACATTGTTTACATATAAACCATAAGGTGTAGACTTCGAGATTTCTCCCTTTTAAAAAAAAAAATTCCCAGAATCTTAAAATGCTGTAGGTTCTAGCTGAAGGCTTTCACTTGAAAACAAGGTAAAGAAATACCTAAAGCTGCCACGTAAGCTTTTCCGTGTGAGTCGTGAATCTTAAACGTGTTTGGAAAAGAGCAAGAGGTGAGGGAGTTTAAGAGGTGAAAGCACTTTTGCTTTCAGGGCTACACGCCTTCGTACATAGAAGAATTCCTCTGAGGCTGGGAATGAACTTCTGGAGAAGAGGAGAAGGATCTGGGAAGCAGAGTTTTGGAGGAGGCTGGTGGTGGAAGGCAGGAAGTTGGTTTTTTTGTTTGTTTGTTTTGGCCCAATCTGGGAGCACATGAGCTCTTAGTTCCCCTTAGTTCTCGCAGGGGTTGAACCTGTGCCGCCTGCGTTGAAAGTGTGGAAGCGTGGAGTCTTAACCTCTGGACCTCCAGGGAAGTCCCAGCAGCTGGTTTTTTTTTTGTTTTGTTTTGTTTTAGTTGGACTGGTTTGGGTGTAGATACAGAGAGTTGAAGTTTTTAATGGATTTCCATCATCTCTGTGGTTGAGTTGGCAAGGTTGATTTTTCGAGGGTATGTTGGACTCCAGTTAATTTCTCCAGTTCCTTTCTAAAACATGGTCTCAAAAGTGAAAGTGTTAGTTGCTCAGTCGTGTCCGACTCTTTGTGACTCAGTGGACTGTAGCCTGCCAGGTCCTCTGTCCAAGGGATTCTCCAGGAAAGAATCCTGGAGTGGGCTGCCTTGCCCTCCTCCAGAGGATCTTCCTGACCCAGGGATCGAATCCAGGTCTCTCGAATTGTGGGCAGATATTTTACCATTTGAGCTACTCGAGAAGCCCCCCTGAAGAAAGATGGTCTAGACTAGTGGATCTAGCATCAGCAGCACGTGGAGGGTGTGTTAAAACAGATTCCTCGTCCTCCACCCTAGAAATTCTGATCCAATAGGTCTGGAATCCACCAGATCTTTCATATTTCAAATCATTTTCAGATGGTGTGATCCAGGAACCACACTTTGTGAACCACTCGCCTAGATGTAAAACATATACAGTTATCCGGGTTGGAGCATTTTCTAAAATTAGACTTTTGGCTCAGAGTCTTGATTTAGAAAAATCTAGACGCTTCTGCTGGTGGAGCTTTTGAAACTGCAGCTGACAGCATCCAAAAGCATAATAAAAACACGAGCGTCCACACATTTCTGAATTCTGGTGCGAACAAAAGAAAACACTTCCAAAAGAATTCTTCCCCCTCTACCAGCAGCTGCACATTCCAGCAGCAGCGACTCACCTTTGGGAGTTTTTCCGGGCAGTTTATCAGATGATTGTCTTCAAAGCGAGAGAATGTGTTTGCAGGGCATCTGATTAATCTCTCTTTTAAGGGCAAATGTGGGCTGGCCTTTTGTTATCATTCTGAGCAGTTTATAAGTTGGCTGATGGGACCTAAGGGGTCATTGGGCTTGACCCTGAGAGGAAGGTCAGGGAAGAGCAGAAGGCACCTTTCAGGGTGGGGTCAGGACTCAGCGTTCAACTCCCGACTAATAGAGGGAAGCCCAGGACAGATCCCAGGCCTGTTAGCTTCCTGTTAACTTCTGTTAATCGGCTGAATGACCCACTGGCTCCATGTCTCCCTGTCTGTAAGGTGAGACTCTATGGTTTCTGAGTTGTCTTTGGCAGAGCCCTTGAGGTCCATGGATTTGCTTGAAGGGCATCTGATGGAGGAGGGTTGCTGGACAGTCAGGGTTCCTATCCTTGCCCGCCTCCACCCAACCATCATGTCGCTTAGGAAGCACGTCTCTGCTTTGCTTCTATATGTTGGCTTCCCTGAGATGTTTTGTTTGCAGGTTGACACACATGTGGCTACAAAATGTCTGAGGACCCATGGCCTCTAGGGTCCCTTCTATTTCTAAAATTTTTAAGTGTTCTATCCCTTTGTAAGTCATAACACAAAAGGTCGTCAGCTCTAGTCATTGTGTATCAGTTGTGGATGAATTTTTGGTGAAAGTTTCAGATGTTTGAGAATTCCCTATCCCACCCCATCCTCAGCAATCTTGAGGGCTCAAGGGGTGGGGCAGGTAGGAAAATATCCCAAAGGGCTGGCTCACATCTGCACCCAGCACTGCCCCGCCTCTGCCCTCAGGGTTAGCTGTTCCTACTAAGCAGGGCCCACTCCTTGGAGCAGAGAGTCACTTCCACCAGGAACCACCATGCCTGTAGTGGGCAGGGCTGCACCCTTGAGCCCTTGGACCTTCCTTCCTGTCAGTGTGGTCCTGGTAGGATTTTAGCAAGACAACAGTCACATGATCATGTGGGCCAGTCAAAGCTGTCTCTCAGAGATGTCGCCCCTGAGAGGCAGAGATGAGTGCCTTTGGCGCTGGTCATCCTGGGTGTCCAGGCCACTGTGCATTGCTACTTGCTTTGTTGGGACTGCCCTGGTTTCTATCCTTCCTGAGGCCTGACTCTTTTTCCCTTGGGGTCTGTAGATTACCTGTGATCTTTCTGGCTCCTCAGCCCTTTTCCACTGCTGGGAAGACACCAGGCTTCCTTCCCTTCAGCATTTCTCTGTTGAAGAGGCTTCCCCAGGCTATGTAACAATTCTGAGTAATTCAGAAGCCCATTCACCAGGACCTCCAAGGGGCCTCCCGCCTTCCCTGGAGCATCTGCGTGAGACCATCAGTAATGCTCTGCTCTCCCAGGGGTGGGCAGCGTGGGTCTTCTGAAATGACAATTCAGCATGATGAACCTAACCCCTGTTAGTACCAGGAGGGCAAGTGTCTCAGAATATCTTGTCCTGTCCACATACCTTGACTGTCTTAACTCTGTTCATGCAGAGGTGGAGAATATAAAATATTTTAGCAGACTACATTCTACCTCTATGGATGAGAGCCTGTTGCTAACATTCATCGTGCTTTTTAACAAGTTATTAAGAAGTCAGTAAAGATGCACTTAGCAAGGCCTCAGGTATTGGTAGAAATGCAAGGCAGAGATGTCTTGGGAGAGGAACAAGGTCCTTGGCCCTGTAACAACTGAATTGTTGAAGCATTTAAATCAATTCCACACATCATATTACCTTCTTATTAAGAGCACAAATACTTCTTCACACCTGTTTGGTTGGTCAAAGGAAGATTGATGAGATAAAAGTTGGTGACTTATCAAAAAGTTTGGTAAGAACATTTGACCTTCTGTTGTGTCATTTCCAACTTTAAAGGAGCAAACACTCTTCACCTCAGCATTCTTGCTAAAAAATGCATTTTGTATTGAAGATGGGTGGTTCCAAGGTACGTGTCAACAGTCGTCGGGAGAAAACTATTAAAATTAAGGTTTCCTACTTGATAGTTTGTCTTTTGACTTCATTGGTGATTTCTTTTGCTGTGCACAGCTTTTGAGTTTGATATAGTCTTGCTTGGGCTTCCCCAGTGGCTCAGTGTTAAAGAAACCGTCTACAATGCAGGAGATGCTGAAGATGTGGATTTGGTTCCTGGATTGGGAAGATCCCCTGGAGAAGAAAATGGCAATCCACTCAAGTGTTCTTGCCTGGGAAATCCCATGGATAGAGAAGCCTGGTGGGCCACAATCTGTGGCGTGGCAAAAGATGCCACATGACTGAATGCCTAAACAGCAGCAAGAAATAGTCTTACTTGTCAATTTTTTATTTTGTTGCTTGTGCTTTAAGTGTCACGTCCAAAAATTCATTGCCGACACCCATGTCAGGGAGGTTTTTTCCTGTTTCTTCTTGGAGTTTTGTTTCAGTATAAAATTATTTAAGTCTCTAACCCATTTCCCCACTCCAGTACTCTTGCCTGGAAAATCCCATGGATGGAGGAGCTTGGTAGGCTGCAGTCCATGGGGTCGCTAGGAGTCAGACACGACTGAGCGACTTCACTTTCACTTTTCACTTTCATGCATTGGAGAAGGAAATGGCAACCCACTCCAGTATTCTTGCCTGGAGAATCCCAGGGACGGGGGAGCCTGGTGGGCCCCTGTCTATGGGGTTGCACAGAGTCGGACACAACTGAAGCGACTTAGCAGCAGCAGCTAACCCATTTAGAGTTCATTTTTGAATGGTATAAAATAGGGCTCTAGCTATATTCTAAAGTAAAGGTTTCAGTGTTTAAGGGAAAGCTGTTTCTTAGTCTTAGAAACTCAAATCACTGATGAGAGGCTCTAGAACAAATACAGATGTGTCAGATTTTAAGGTTGCGTATGTGTTACTGTTGTTTGGTTGCTAAGTCCTGTCTGACTCTTTGCAACCCCATGGACTGCAGCACACCAGGCCTCCCTCTCCTTTACTATCTCCTGGAGTTTACTCAAATTCATGTTCATTGATTCAGTGATGCCATCCCACCATCCCATCCTTTGTCACCCCCTTCTCCTCCTGCCCTCAATCTTTCCCAGCATAAGGGTCTTTTCCAATGATTTGGCTCCTCACATCAGGTGGCCAAAGCTTTGGAGCTTCAGCATCAGTCCTTCCAATGAATATTTAGGGTTGATTTCCTTTAGGATTGATTGGTTTGATCTCCTTTTTTCCAAGGGACTCTCAAGAGGCTTCTCCAGCACCATAATTTGAAAGTGTGTTAGTCGCTTAGTCATGTCCAGCTGTTTGTGACCCCATGGACTGTAGCCCTCCAGGCTCCTCTGTCCATGAAATTTTCCAGGCAAGAATACTGAAGTGGGTTGCCATTTCCTCCTCCACAGGATCTTCCCCACCCAGGGACTGAACCTGCGTCTCGTGCACTGCAGGTAGATTCTTTACCATGTGAGCCACCAGGGAAGCAATTTTAAGGTTATTGGCATGCAAGCATACTGTTTCTCCCTGATCTTTCTAGATCAAGGCTTCTCAGCCCTGGCATTATTGGCATTAGGGACTGGAGGTTTATTTGTTGTGTGAGATTGTCCTATGTATTATGAGATGTTTAGCAGCATCTGTGACGCCTACCCACTTGATGCCGGTAGTAGCACTCCACTTCCCAAATGGTGACAATTAAAAGTGTGTCCAGATTGTGCCAAATGTCCTCGAGGGGGCAGAATCACCCCCACCTGAGAGCTACTGTGCTAGACCAGGTCCAATGGGCTAACCCAATGCTCTGCTAGAAATGCAGAATCCCGGACGCCCTCCCAGACCTACCAAATAGCAGTCTGCATGTTAACCAGACCCCCGGTGGTCTGTGTGTTCAGATTTCACACCCACCCCATAGCCTCTCTGAGTCGGAATTGTGACCCTCTCGTTGCAGGAGGCAGACGAAGCCCTGCTACGTAACCTGCGTCTTCAGATTGAAGCCCAGTTTCTGCAGGATGACATCAGTGCGGCCAAGGACAGGTACAAAAAGGTAACCACAACCCGTCTTGCAGCCCTTTCCCACCAGAAACTAGTCCAGGGCTCTCGTGGCTGGAAAATGAGACAGCTGGAGTGGGCTGCTCAGGTGAACTGGGCTGTACAGTGCTTAGTGAACCAGACGTGCAGAGGGGGAGGTGGTTTTGGGGTGTGTGTGTCAGGGGATGGGGTGGGAGCCAGTATCTATGGGAGACATTACAGTCCACAGAGTGATTGCACGCGGATCCGTCTTGATTAGGCTGTTGCCTATCAACTGGTTCAGGTCAGAAAATGGAGAAAGTGCAAAAACTGTAAATTTTCATTGCTGCCTCTGAGGGAACATGTGGCCTGCAGGAGCCCCCTGGAGAAGGAAACGGCAACCCACTCCAGCATTCTCGCCTGGGAAATGCCATGGGCAGAGGAGCCTGGTGGGCTACTGTTGCAGAGAGTCGGACACAACTTAGCAACTAAACAGCAATAGCAGGAGCCTCCTCTCAAGTACTGCTGTGTTCTGCCTTCAGCCCTACCAGCTTCTCATAGCCTCATGCCGCGGTGGGGTGGGGGTGCTTGGTGTTCTGGGAAAGTCCAGTCCCAGATCTGTGTAACCTAAGGCCAGTGGTCTAACCTCTCTGAGCATGTGCATCTTAAAAATGCAAGTGCCAGACACTCCTTTCCTGCCCACCTGTGTCACCTGAGCACAGCAGACCTGAGGGCTGACCTCTCCAGGAACGTGGCCTCCCTCCAGCTTCAGTGTCTGTGTCTCTGCCTCAGGACCTGCTCCAGGCAGCAGAGGGCGGCTCTTGTGTAGATAAAAGGAGGCATCAGGCACCCTCCGAGCAGGTCACTGTCTTATGTCCCTAGGGTCACATTGGCCCAGAGGGAGAAACTCAGGCAGTTCAGGTTTTAATGAGAACTCTTTCTTTCCCTGACAGAATCTTCTGGAGATTCAGACCTATGTCACCATCCTGCAGCAGATCATCCAGACCACCCCGCAGGCCGCCGCCATAACGAGTGGGATGCGGGAGGTAAGGGCAGGAGCCCCAGTAGCAGGGTGGCCACACGTGGGCATTGGTCCTGCAGCCCCAGGGCTGGTGCCCAGAGGCCCAGGGAGAGGCATCAGGTTGGACTCTCTGGGGGCCCCAACCCGACCTGAGCATTCATATTCAAGTTTACTCTTCTGCTCTTTGAGTCTCTCAGTGAACAAGGGTATCTAGACATTTGAGGACATAAACTCTGCTGCTGACTGTCTTCCTAGGTGTTTGTCCTCTCGAGGATCACAGGCTATTCTTCCTTGTCTAGCTTATAAGAAACTACCAGACTATCTCCCAAGCTCTGTAGTATTGCTGCATCCCCGCCCTCAGCCACAGATGGGAGCTTCTGTTGCTTTGCTTTCTTGCCTGCCCTGGGGATGTTGGGCTTTTATTTTGGTTTTGCCTGTTCTAATAGTTGTGTTGTGTATCTTGTTATAAGCATTGTTTTTTTTTTTTAGCCACACCGCATGGTTTGCAGGAATCTTAGTTCCCTAAAGGGATCAAACCTTCAGCAGTGAAAGCACAGAATCGTAACCACTGGACCACCAGGGAATTCCTTGTTGAGTATCTTTTCTTTTTTTTTTTTTTAGGGATTTTAAAAAATAAATTATAAATAATTTTTTATTTATCAATTTTCAGCAAGGAACTCCCAAAGTTATTGAATCTTCTTCATTTTTCAGGAACTATTCACTCCCAGAGCAGACCACCATTTCATATCTTAAATCTCAGGGCTCTCATGCACTCCTTGTGGGCTTCAATTAGGTGTCCACATTGCTCTTCTCCTTTCTCAATGATGCACGCATCGCGCGCCTTCTTGGTCTCCTGGCAGGCGCAGCAGGGCTTCAGCAGCTTCTTCTCCTGCGACTCAGATGGGGCAGGGCTTGCGGCCGCCAGACCTGGCATTTTTCATGCCCGAAAGCAGCAACTAGCGCAGACACCCTGAACGCGCCAGACTTGGCAAAGCCCTGAGTATCTTTTCAGTCAAGACATATGGATGCTTATCTGCCATCCATGTATCTATGATTCACGAATCTTCTTTGTTGGACCAAGACCCAAGTCTTTTGCATATATATATATACATATGTATATATATGTAATTGGGTTGTTTGTTTTCTTATTCCCCTTATCAATTTGACCATAATTTTGAATCCAGAAAATTGAAGATAGTGAGTGACTGTGTTTTTCACGTCAGGCCCTGCTAATGATGAGGCAAGTCTGGGACATGAAAACTGTCAGGACAGGCTAGAGATGGTTGAAGCTGTTTTGGGATTTGGGTGTAAAACTGTATTCTCAGTATAATGTTTCAGATTCCTTCCTCATTTGGCTGTTTAACAGTTCAACAGGATATTGACCTATATTTTTTCCTACTGTGGTTTATGGGATTTTGTGATGCATGATATGGTATGTGTAGAAATAGACTGAGAAGGATACAGATTAAAACAGAAATGTCATGTGGTCTTTCTCTGGAGAAGTGTTACACTGAGGGCAGGGTTTTGTGGACTGTTCAGAGATTCTGTGTTTTTCTGCAAAGATGACTTAGGATAGAAGCCTGCCTAAGCCCACACCCTGCAGAACCAGTGGGCAAGGTTAGCTGACTGGTTTATGTTTATTTGAATCTAACTTTTTATATCAAAGCTAAAGAAATCCCCAAATTTGCTTTTGGGACATAGTTGAACCTTGCCAGGTAACATCTGAGAGGCAGAAGGGTTACTTTTTTTGGCCTTGATGGGGATATTCTTGTCCACATTGCTTACCACTGATGCCAAGTGAACTGTGTGCGTGTGTGTTTAGCTGCTTTAGTTGTGTCCAACTTTGTGTGACCCTATGGACTGTAGCCCACCAGGCTCCTCTGTCCATGGGGTTCTGCAGGCAAGAATACTGGAGTAGGGTGTCATATCCTCCTCCAGGGGATCTTCCCAATTCAGGGATCAAACCCATATCTCTTTATGTCTCCTGCATTGGCAGGTGGGTTCTTTACCACTAGTGCCACCTGGGAAGTCACAAGTGAACTGGTCTAAAACACAGCTTTTCCTAAAACATAATTTTCTTTGTCAGAGATTTCTTTCCAGACACTTTATTGTATTTTGCAAACATTTTCCGCTTTAATTCAAAGGTGTGTTATATCAGAGCACACTTATAAAATCATAATAGTTTGTTTCCTTGTAGCCCCGTTTGTCTGAGTTGTAGGAACGTAGAACCGTCTAGACCTAGTTTGATGGCGTTAGTGATTGTTAGAGACCCTCAGCATCACCTGGGAACTTGAGAAAACTGCAGAATCTCCAGCCAGACCCCCTAGCAGACCCACTGAGTCACAGTCCCCATTTCAGCAAGATGCTCAGGGATTCATGTGCACTTTACAAACCACATTTAGGCCCTGGTGCCTCCTTCTTTGCTTGTAAGGGTGCTAATCCCACCATGGGGGCCCCACTCTAGTGACCTCATCTCCACCTCCCTTCCTGCCAAAGTCCCAGCCCAGATGCCTTCCCATGGCGGGAGGGGGTCAGGGCCTCAACCTGTGAATCTGGGGGGGATGTGAATGTGCAGATCACAGGAGGCCTCTCCCCACCTCTCCATGTTTCCTCCCATGACAAGGGTGTGATGCTGAGTCTGGCTTCTTTGTGTAGGAGAAGCTCCTGACAGAACGGGAAGCCGCTGCCCTGCAGTGCCAGCTGGAGGACGGCCGGGAGATGCTCTGCCTCCTACAGGCCCAGAGAACCGAGCTGCAGGCCCAGGTGCGCCCCACCCTCCGTCTGCAGGTTCATTCTGGTGTCTCGAGCCTGCAGAGATGTGCGCGCTTTTGTCTCACTGTGTTGTTTTGTTGTTGTTTAGTCCCTCTGTTGTGTCCAACTCTTTGTGACCCCATGGGCTGTATAGCCTGCCAGGCTCTCCTGTCCATGGGATTCTCCAGGCAAGAATACTGGAGTGGGTTGCCATGCCATCCTCCAGGTGATCTTTCTGACCCAGGGATTGAACCCAAATTTCCCGCATCTCCTGCATTGCACGTGGATTCTTTACCACTGAGCAACCAGGGAAGCCCTGTCTCACTGTAAATTCTCACAAATTGGCACACCTGTGTGCCCAGCCCTCAAGTGACAGACAGCGTCCCTAGGGGGATGACCAGCTGTCTGCATAGACGGAGGGCTGCCCAGGACACTGCCCTTCCTGCTCAGACTGGAAAGGCTCTGGGCCAGAGGGGACAGTGAAAGTGAAAGTGAAGTCGCTTGTTGTGTACGGCTCTTTGCGACCCCATGGACTGTAGCCAATGAGGTTCCTCCATCCATGGAATTTTCCAGGCAAGAGGACTGGAGTGGGTTGCCATTTCCTTCTCCAGGGGATCTTCCTGACCCAGGGATCAAACCCTGGTCTCCCGCATTGCAGGCAGACGTTTTTGCCTTCTGAGCCACCAGAGGAGCAGGGACAAGAGATCCCACTAATTTCTGGCTCCCAAGAGGCTCCCTAAGGCCCCCTCCCCCACCAAGGGTAAGCTCCCACCTGTGCATAGCCAACCCGTTTTGCCCAGTTTAAAATTGTTGGCTAAAAATCAGAAATGGACACAGATTGATTGGGGTTTTTAGTCCTCCACTCACTTGAATCTGTGCTTCCTGCTTCTGACCTGAACTCTCTTCTCTGAAATCTGACTGCAGCCCTGGAGAGAGGGGCTGTTTCTGCATTTGCTTCTGCTCAGAATTTGTTAGTGGAAACTTTGCATTTTCACCCCACCCCTTTTCTTTTCTTGGTGAAGCTTAATTTGCAAACTGAACTCACCAGAAAAGCTCAATCCTATTTCTACGGGCCTCCTTTGTGGTTCACAAGCCTTATGGGGCACCTCCGTGATTCCTCCAGTTTCTTTCTCTGGTTTCATGTATCTGGCTGTTCTGATGGGGACATTGGGTTAGAACACACTCCTTCTTGTTTGACCACATTTCCCAAATTCAAAAGTAAATTGACGTTTGGTTTGACACGTACATGTAAAAGGCAAGAGAACAAGAATTTAAAAAATCTGCGCCTCTACGTAGACCATTAAATGTTATATGTTACTCTCTGTCTCTACTCCACCAATGCCACCAGAAGAATCACATGCTGGAGCCCTGTGGGATATGGTGCTTTTCGTCGGTTCTCAGTGTTACCAAATTTCAGGCCCTGAGTCCAGAATCTCTATTCCTGCCCCACGCACCACACGCCCCTCATTGTGCAGTGACAGGGGCTTCGGAAAGCACATGGGGGTCTGCGCATGGTCCCCAAGGCAGAGACCCCGGCTGCCCTTAAAACTCATCCTGCTCTGGCGACAAACTGTGGCTTGAGGACCAGACGCGTCGATTTGATGACTTGATAAATATGTGATTTTCTCTGAGAGGATGGAGGGAGGGTATGTGTGTGTGTGTGTGTGTGTATGTGTGCACATGTGTGTATAATGTGTGTGCATATTTTGTATGTGTGTACATGTGTATGCATATATGTGTGTATAAGTTGTATGTGTGTGTACATGTGGGTGTGTGTACATGTGTGTGTGTGAATAAGCATTTGGAGAAGTGGACACAAGCCCAGTCACGTTGGCAGAATTCTGTTCTGTGTGTCTGTGGGAACAAGGATCCTGTTTCTTTACTGTCAGGAGTCATTCCAGATGCCGCCTACTCTCTTTGGCGGGTGGCCTCCTCCATCTTCAGGGACATTGACTCTTTCTCATGCATCTGCTCTCTTTGATTTCTACTCTTGAGGGCTCATGTGATCAGGAATAATCCAGAATGATCTCCCTATTTTTTAAGCTCAACTGCTTAAGAACCTTGCTTACATCTGCAAAGTCCCTTTGCCAGCTAACACCACAGAGTCTTGGGCAGAAGCTAAGGGGTAAAGGTCACCGGGGCCAAAAGCCTGCCTGATTAGCTCAAATTAAAACACACACATGTCTGGACCCACCTGAGAGTTTCTGACTCAGTAGGTCTGGGTTGTGGCCCAAGAACCTGCCTTTCTGAAGTCTAGGTATTTCTTGCTAGCTGAGGAACCACATTTGGAGGTCACTAATTTGGGGGTGGGATCCCACGCTGAGCCAGGATGTTCTACATCTGGGCCACTCATGTTCCTGGCCTGGGCCTTCCACAGCCTGGTTCATGAGATGTTCACGGCTGGTTTTTTTTGCTGATTTTAAAATGTTGCCATGACTTTCAGATGGAGTAGCTAAGATGTGTGTTCCCAGGGAGGCTGGTCAGCATAGCCCCTCAGTGAGGCCAGGGCTAGGACTGGGGATGTGGTGGGGATGGTGGGGGGCAGCGCTCCTTGCAGCCTGAGGGCTCCGGCCAGCAGGGCTGTGGCAGCTGGTTCTGCATATGGTTTGCGCATTCACAGACTTGCCCCAGACCTATGGAATCAGGACTCTGGGGGAGGGGCCAACATCTCCTTCAACAAGCACCCCCAGGTGGCTCTGCCAGCTTTGAGAACACTGGTCTGCAGGTTGCCCACAACAGTACCCACATTGGAGCTGGGGGCCTCTGCTTTTGAGATTGAACGTGGACCACGCATGAGACCCCTGAATGTGGGCCATGCATGAGATGGTACTTATTCCAGGTGCCTGAGAAAGGACAGGCCTCTAAATTCTCTAAGTTGCATCAGTTGAGTTTTTGTGACAGGAAAGTGAAAAAAGGCAGATTTTTGTGGAAGTCTGTTGCCCAGACATCATTTCTTGTGAAAGTCCCTTAGTACCATCTGGTGGCAGGTTTTGGTAAGACGACATGTAATATGGGAAGGACAAGATTTCTTTTTCCTTTTTGAAATGACCTTGGACCCAAAGGAGTGCGGGGGCATAAGAGGACTGAGGCAGGAAGTCACCCCTCCAGATGGGGCTCACGTGAGGCATAGCTCAGGATCCCTGAGGACCGTGTGTGCAAAGGTAGACCCCACAACTGTGCTAGAATGCTTGTCTTTCACTCAGATGTTTCTGGCGAAACCCACGTGAGGTCCAGGAACACCAAGCAGAGCTTGGCTGGGCTCCTGCCTGCAGCCAAGTGGGGAGATGAATATCAGCTGGTCGATCCAAATGGTCCAGGCAGAAATGCCCAGTCACCTGGCTCACGGTGAAGTTCAGGCTGCTTCGAGGTTGCCACCTGCCTCTGCCACCTGTATCAGCTCGACTGCTGTTCTCGAAGTGACCCGGGGCTGTCAGTAGGCAGCTCTCTTCCCCTCTCCTCTCTTGACCACCCCTGTAGACCTGGCGCTCGCCTCTCTGCTTCTCACGCCTCTTTCTGCAAGTCCCTCTGCTTCTGCAGCACCCAGGACCGGCCTTACCTCCTCCTGGAAGCCTTCCATGATGCCCCGCCCCCCACCCCCACCCCCCAGCACCTTGGGCCTCTCCGTGGGTTCTGTGACACCCTGTCCTTGACCCTGTGACCAAGCTGGACTGTGGCTCCAGGAAGGAGGGTCTCTTTCACCTACGGTCAGTCTGGTGCTAGACGGCGTCTGAAGCCCACACGGAAGTCAGTCCCCTCAGAGACATCATCTCGTTAGCCCCCTTTGAGCTGCCAAAAGGGGGGCTTTTATTGTTTTTCTCTGAGCACCCCTCCTTCTGATGGAGGAGGTTTCAATTATTGAGCTTTAACACGTGGCTGCTCTGGGCACAGCTCTTTCCTGTTCACGTGGGAGAAAGGTGAGCTTTGATGACAGCGTGTCCAGCTCTCATGTTCTCCTACTGCCCAGCTGACTCTGGGGTTGATGGACACCAGCCACCCTGGTCTGTGACCTGCAGGCTTTGTTCTCAGGGCCACTCCATGGAAATGGAGAGTCTTACGTGGGGATTCACCCACTCCTGGATGGCTGCTTGTCTCTGAGATTCAGGTCTGGAGGGGTCCTTTGAATCCCTTCATGGAAGCCTTTCCTGGAGCATGTGGATGCCGGTATGGTTAAGAGGGTGTGGCCACACCAGGAGTCAGAGACTGTGCCTTGGTGTTTGATGTCCTAGGAGACTGTTTGAATGGAGACAGTTTTATTTATTTTTTAAAATGTATTTATTTTTAATTGAAGGATAATTACTTTACAGTATGATGTTGGTTTCTGCCAAACGTCAACATGAATCAGCTATAGGTGCACATATGTCCCCTCCCTCTTGAACCTCCCTCCCACCTCCTACCCCATCCCATCCCCCTAGGTTGTCACAGAGTGCTGGTTTGAGCTCTGATGTGAAGTGAAGTCGCTCAGTCGCATCTGACTCTTTGGGACCCCTTGGGCTGTAGCCTACCAGGCTCCTCCATCCATGGGATTTTCCAGGCAAGGGTACTGGAGTGGGTTTCTATTTCGAGTCACACAGCAAATTCCCACTGGTGATCTACTTTACATATGGTAATGTATATGTTTCCATGCTACTCTCTCCCTCTTCTTCCCTGCCCCTTGACCACAAGTCTGTTCTCTACGTCTGCATCTCCATTGCTGCCCTGAAAAGAGGTTCATCAGTACCATCTTTCTAGAGTCCATATATATGCATTAATATATGATGTTTGTTTTCTCTTTCTGACTTACTTCACCCTGTATAATAGGCTCTAGGTTCATCCACCTCATTAGAACTGACTCAAATGCATTCCTTTTTATGGCTGAGCAATATTCCATTGTATACATGTACCACAGCTTCTTTATCCATTCATCTGATGATGGACATCTAGATTATTTCCTGAATGGAGGCAGTTTTAAATGAGGAACATAAACCTGGCCAAACTCTCTTGGTTTATTTTGAAATAATTTTAGACTTCTCTGATGCTGTAAAAATAGCTCAGAGTTTTCCCATACTCTTCATTCAGTTCCCCCAAAGTCAAAATCCAAATAGCAAAGCACCAAGGTTGAAACCAGGACATTGGTGAACAGATCAGACTGGTAAGGGACTTGCGTGAAATCTCACCGGTTACCCTGTTCACAGGTTGCCTGATCCTGGGTCCTGCCTGCATTCAGGTGTCCTGTCTCCTCAGCCTGCTCCAGTCTGGGACAGTTCCTGCCCATCTCTGCTTCTCATGACCTTATCTGAACATAGTGAAGGGTCAGGCTCTCAGGAATAATCACCCTCTATGTTGTCCAGTGTGGTCATTAAGCTGCATGTGTCAGGCATCCTGTGATGCACACACGTGAGGATAGATTCAGACTCTTGCTTAGCTCCCCATGACTCAAAGAGTGTGGCCCAGAGACCAGAGCCACAGCCATGGGCATCGTTGGGGAGCCACTTAAAAACCTGGCCTCTCCGGTCCCACTGGAGCTGCTGAGTCAGAATCTGAGCAAAACCGTATTCTTGGGTGGTTCATATGCATGTTGAAGTTTGACAAGCGCTCTTCCAAATGAAGCAGGTTTCAGTCTACATATTTTATTTTGCTTTTGAGGACTGGCCATGCCTGTTAGATCTTTTCTCCATGGGAAAGCGAGCTTGTACTGAACTTGTAAATAAGTAAGCAGCTTGTGGCTGCTTGTGGGTTGTCATAGCTCTTAAAGTGAAGATGAGGAATCTCTGTTCATTTTCCTACCTTAATTTTGACTTGTCCTGCTTTAATATATAAATAGCATTTCTCTGAAGTTATTTTACATAAGTGCCAGCACACACACACACATATTTTAGCTATCAAAACATATATGTAACTCTACTGGTCAGAAATCAGGAGAAAATTGAAGTGCCGTAGTGATTGAATAAGATCAAGAAAATTCCCTCCCCCCTTTAATTATTGATAGCATCTTATCTATTTAGTCCATGTTCTTCTTTTTACTACTTTTTCATGCTAACTCAGTAAAGTATGAAGAATGTACCCTGAGTTGTATATGTTAGTCCAGGAAGTAGTTTTTATTTTCTGAGTTTCTCATCTTCCTACTGCCTTGGGTCGGGGCTCCACTAAAGGCTGATTTCCAGGGATGCTGATACAAGCATCAAGGGATGCTTCTGTGGCTTAAAGATTCTCTGCTGACAGAGAAACAAACCAACAAGACAAATACAACTGGGTACACCATCTGGATTCTCCACTGCTGTGTCTGTGTCTGAAGGGAGAGGGTGGCTGGGTTTCCTCCTGACTGTGACTCTGCCCACAGACCGCGGCCCTGGAACAAGCCATCAGAGACGCCCACGAGTGTTATGATGACGAGATTCAGCTCTACAACGAGCAGATCGACACCCTGCGGAAGGAGATTGAAGAGGCGGAAAGGAGCCTGGAGAGGTCATCCTATGACTGCCGGCAGCTGGTGGTCGCCCAGCAGACCCTGAGGAATGAGTTGGACCGGTATCATCGCATCATCGAGAATGAAGGCAACAGGTGGGGTTGGGGTGGGCAGAGCCCATGGGCACAGAGCCACTTACCTGTTCCACGTTTTTCCATGTGCCAGTTCCAGGCTGTAGGGAATGTGGCCGGAAAGTGAAAGTGTTAGTTGCTCAGTCATGTCTGACTCTTTGTGACCCCCTGGACTATAGCCTGCCAGGTTCCTCTGTCCAGGGGATTCTCCAGGCAAGGATACTGGAGTGGGTAGCCATTCTATTTTCCAGGGGATCTTCCCAACCCATTGCAGGCAGATTGTTTACCATCTGAGCCACCAGAAAGAGACCCCCAAATCCAGGACCTCACGGGGCTGGAATGCCAGTGGGGGAGGCAGAGGATGAATGGGTTTGCAACAGAGACATGGACTCTGGCATGAGTGATGGTGGCGGGAGGGGATGGGTGATGAAGATGACCGTGGGAGTGTTTGGATGTCAAGGTGTCTTTTGGCTCCACAGGTCTCTGGGGACAGGAACGTCTTAGCTGAAAGGATGACTAGGTGTGGTTATTGAGATGTTGCAGGCGAGATGCCTGAACAGTACCTGGAACTGGCCCAGCGCTCAGAGCAGTTGGTGTTATTACTGCTGCTGCCATGGTGACTCTGAGCACCTGGCCAGTCAGTGCTGTGGCTGCCAGCAGGCTGTCTGGCCTCCTCCGCACAATGGATTGGGACATGAACTCTGCTGGCAAGTGTCTCTGTCTCTGTCTCAGCCTCATCCACATCTACACCTGCATCAGCTACTCTCCGTTTCCTCCATGTTCATCTATGTGACCGTGTCTGCACCTACATGTGTACTTATGCCCACATCTGTGTCTACAGCGTCTGTATGTGTACATCTGCACTACACCTACATTCTCTACATCATCTGTAGCTACGCCCACATCACCTAAACTACATCTGTATCATCTACACTTACACCTGCCTCTACATCACCTACACCTACATCATCTGAAACCTACTCTGCCATCTACGTCTGTCTGGATCATCTACATGTACATCTACCCCACATCTGCATTTTCTGTGCCTGCATCATCTTCAACACTTCTATTTACGCTGATGCCTGCATCACCTACACTTACACCTGCACTTTCTTCTACATCATCTACATCTGCATCTCTACCTCCACCCACATCTACATCATCTGCCAGTTAGTCAGTTCAATTCAGTCGCTCAGTTGTGTCCAACTCTTTGCAACCCCATGAATTGCAGCATGCCAGGCCTCCCTGTCCATCACCACATCATCTGTATCCACGCCTGTATCACTTACATCCGTATCTACATACACCTGTATCTACATTATCTATGGGTACACTTATATCTTTATCACCTAAGCCTGCACCTCATCTCCACATAAAGTATCTGAATCTCCATCGTCTTTATGCATGTACATGCATAAAGTGTCTACATCTCCATTATCTTTATGTACATGCATAAACTGTCTATACCTCCATGGTTTTCTTTCCTTTTTTTTTTTTCACTTTACAATATTGTATTGGTTTTGCCATACATTGACGTGAATCCACCACAGGTGTACATGTGTTCCCCATCCTGAACCCCCCTCCCACCTCCCTCCCCATCCCATCCCTCCCCAGTGCACCAGGCCCGAGCACCCTGTATCATGCCTCAAACCTGGACTGGCAATTTGTTTCACATATGATAATTTACATGTTTCAGTGCAATTCTCCCAAATCATCCCACCCTCGCCCTCTCCCACAGAGTCCAAAAGACTGTCCTATACATCTGTGTCTCTTTTGCTGTCTCGCATACAGGGTTAGCATTACCATCTTTCTAAATTCCATATGTATGCGTTAGTATAGTGTATTGGTGTTTTTCTTTCTGGCTTACTTCACTCTGTATAATAGGCTTCAGTTTCATCCACTTCATTAGAACTGATTCAAATGTATTCTTTTTAATGGCTGAATAATATTCCATTGTGTATATGTACCACAGCTTTCTTATTCATTCATCTGCTGATGGACATCTAGGTTGCTTCCATGTCCTGGCTATTATAAACTGTGCTGCGATGAACATTGGGGTACATGTGTCTCTTTGAATTCTGGTTTCCTCAGTGTGTATGCCCAGCAGTGGGATTGCTGGGTCATATGGCAGTTCTATTTCCAGTTTTTTAAGGAATCTCCACATTGTTCTCCATAGTGGCTGTACTAGTTTGCATTCCCACCAACAGTGTAAGAGGGTTCCCTTTTCTCCACACCCTCTCCAGCATTTATTGCTTGTAGACTTTTGGATAGCAGCCATTCTGACTGGCGTGTAATGGTACCTCATTG